CTCTGTTCGATAGAGTAAAGCAAGCTCTACAAAATGGCACTACTGTGGCCGTATTTATCATTGATACCTTGAGGTAAATTCTACCTCCAGGTAGTTTTATCACTCATTATCAGCAAGTACCCGTATTCACAAAGTACCTTGAGGTAAATTCTCAATGTAATTTTGCTGATATTGAGTGATAAAACTACCTGGAGGTAGAATTTACCTCAAGGTATCAATGATGAATACATCCACTGCTTTCGCACCAAGTTATGTTTACGTGGAGTTCAAAACTGAAAGCTAAAAAGATTTGAATGACCAAAAAATCAAAAAATCCTCAACTTGCTCACGGATATGCATGCCCCATCAGGCATGCATATGCGCAGGCGCAGTGATTTTTCCTTATCTAAACGTTAAGAAACTGAAAATTTTCATGCTTTTGCCGAAGTGATGGCTATTTCCGCGTAGGTACTTCTATGCTTTTTAGCTTGGAAGTACAATAGTAGATTTTCAGCCTACAAGAGTTAGTTCTCGAGAGATATTGAATCTAACTTTTTTTCCTGCTCTTCAAATTCAATTCGATATTTCTCGAAAACACTCTTATAGAAGGCTGAAAATCTACGGCTGTACTTCCCAAGCTAAGTGGTATAGGACTGAACAGCCAGCCTCATTTTGGCAGAAGTATCGAAATTTTCGGTTGCTTTATGTCTAGCTAAGGAAAAATTACAGCAAGTGCTCATATGAATGTATGGGATATGTACCATTTGATTCAACTGGCTTGGCCTCGGGAAGGCGAGGCTCCGTGACCTAATTAAGGCCAGGTAATGATTAGAGAGCGCTCGCGCGAGAGAGACGCAGATGCGGGCGCGAACGGCCTTAATTGAGTCACAAAGCCCCGCCTTGCCAAAGCCAAGCCAATTGAATCAAAAGTTATGTCCGTGAGCAAGTTGGTGATCCGTGGTAGTTTTTTGGACGGAGATACGAATTTTCAAAGTTTTGGTCACTTGGAACTTTTGGAAATCCGTTTTCAAACTTCACGTGGGCCAAACCTGGTGCAAACGCAGTAGCGCCATTTTGTAGCTTGCTTTGCTTTATCGATGGTGTCTCAAACAGGGATTTGAACTGTTGTGATGCCACGACCAGGAAATAAAAAGCGACATTATTCTTTTCTTTCCAACCTAATATGATTGTTGAATGAAAACACACTCGGCTCTTGTGATTGCATATCTTCGCCCAGAATATACTAGTTTCAAAAGTTCTCTCCGATTTGCAAATTTCTGATTCAAATGTTATAACTATTTTCAAATAGCATTTTTTAACAAATCAAAATTTGCTGGATTATGCAAAATTATGGCTATCACATGAATGGTATGCCATACGAAAAAGTCAAGTGAAGGGGAAAGGAAATTAAGAGAATTTTGCAAGATTTCCTTCAAGACCGTCTAATTTGACATACTACTGCTCTTACATAAGGATAGGCAGACATATTTGGCTGCAATAAAGAAATAGCCCATACTTCAGAGATTATATATCGGCTAAAGAAAATTCGAGTTGTTTTTACTGCCCAAAAGTTTCCACGAGCAAATTAAAAAAGCCATTATTGGACTCCTCCGCGCGTGCAAGTATGCCTACTCCTCGATATTCGATTTTTTCTTGCTGTCGGAAATTGAAAAATCTAATAGGCTTGTGATTCCCCCTTGCTCTTGCTTTACTCTATCATATGCAATCCTGAATACATCACTTTTCGCTATGCGTATATTGCTGTCGCTTCTTGAATAAGTGGCTTGTCTTCAATTCTTGAAAGAAAAATTCGAAAAGTAAGACATTTTTTATATGGGAGAAAAAGTGTGCATAAGTTAGTCCATTACACCCTTAATCATTATTCAAATATAACTTTGCTAAGTACTGCCAAAATTCTCGCTATAAAAACTTTTTGAACATGATTGCATTTTGGTAACTCAACCTTAAAGCTCGAAAGATTCCTCAGTGGAAATCTATTTTTCGAGATTGGTAAGCATTGAAAAGAGCGAGAAAAATCATTAAAAAGAGCGAGAGAAATGCTTCTATAAATTACTCATAATACTGCAACAACGGCAAAATCCTAAGAAAATTGCTGCTAAAAGAAAATAACTGAAAATCGGACAGAACTTTTGAAACAGCCTAGTATTTGAATGCATGCGGTGATGACCGTTGATGAGCATGTAATGTGGACTCAGCATATGTTGTATTGGATAATGCTGCAGATAGACGAAACCAACAAGCGAAATTTGTAAGAAAGGTTTTTACATTTCATTTTATACTCGTGCGTGCAAGGTCCTTCAAACCTACATCGGAGTTAAAGCATAGCTTCAATTTGTTTCAATAGCACTAGCTTATTGAAGAGCTTTGCCCTTTCCTCGTTTACGCTTGCCAGTATTGGGTGAGCAAATTGTCCGCGCTAAATCGGTCTTGTTTTCGCTCATCCGATATCAGCAAATCGTTATTGAGAAAGAGACAGCTTTGCATCGAACACAATTACATGAAATAAAAACCCATTCATCAGACTCTGTGCAAACATTGACAAAAATTCTATCTGTTGTTTTGCTCTACAATTTACGGAGCCCTAATTTTTATGAAAACATTCTTTTTGAAAGGAAAAAATATAGCGAAAACGTCAAAACCATAGTTTTTGAATCATCTAGCTAGAGAAACTCAATTAACAATTTAGAAGAGGTTTTGAAAACAGGAAAGTAGCGAACGTTGCATACAAAGCCTTTTTATCTCCCCTTTCCACCTGAGATACAATGATTTTGAGACTAGCGGCTCCCAAGGGTCGCAATTACTAGTTTGGGGCAGATACCTGCACAGTCTTACGCTTGCAATTGAAGACTAGCAAATAATTTTCCATCTTCAAAGAATTTTGGCGTGATTCTCATAGTAGTAGAAACAAGATACCATGTACTGAAAGAAATAGCATTTAACAATGACTACTTATCTGCAGATCATCTCTGTTGCTTCTTGCAAATACCCAAACTTGAATCTCAGCTCCTGGACGTTATATTCTAAACTCAGATATCACTTCTATATCACCTCCAAAATTATCTGCCAATATCATCTCCGCGTACTTTTTGCAGAATTAGGAGAAGTATAGATAAGTGGAAGTGGGTAGAGGAACTAATGTCGCGGAAACAGGGCGGCCCTGCGATAATTTGCAATAAATGCGCACCTTAATCTGGCACGTAGGGCTTTTTGCTCAGGCAGTAAAACAGAACAAAAATAAACACAACATTAAAACAAAAAACAAAACACAAAAAACACAAAAAACTGAACACTCACAACAACACGCTTAACACAAAAACAACATTTTTCCAGAAGTCACCAATACAACAGCTCAGTTTAGAGCTATGTCGGTCAAACATATTAGACGAAGTGCTTTAGCCCAGTAACTATCTGGAGTTACCATTTCCTAAGTTTGACGGCTTTTTGATGGAAAAAAGATCGAAATATTCACGAATTCGATTACCCTAAAATCCCATAGATAAGAGCGGTTTAATTTACCGGTGAAAAATGAATTGGAAGAAATTGAAATTGAATGCAGTCACCCCTCTAACTTGATGGATGGATAAATAAAAACCAGAGAAGAAGTTTAGAAGAAGCTCCGCGCCTCAACTCTAAATCCCGCCCACTTAATAAACAATTCATATAGAAAAATAGCGATTTTAACGGAATTTCGGAATTTCTATATAAATTGTTTATTAAGTGGGCGGGGTTTAGAATTGAGGGGCGGAGCTTCCTCTAAACTTCTTCTCCGATTTTTATTTATCCATCCATCAAGTTAGAGGGGTGACTGTATTCAATTTCAATTTCTTCCAATTCATTTTCTCCTGTAAATTAAACCGCTCTTATCTATGGGATTTTAGGGTATTTGATCTTTGCAGGTTTCCAACGTTTGAGATTTGAATCTATTTAAAGACATAAGGTTGAAAAGCTTTGACAACAATCGCATATCTTCTCTGGAATTCACAAGTTTTTAAGAGCGTTATTAAGCACTAAAAATACGCTGATTGGTGTCCATCTGGCTATAAAAATCGCGCTTTTCTACACACATACGCCCCTCTACGCATCCCCTTGAATAGCAAGTAGGACGTTTCGAGGATATGTTGTGAGTAAATCTTTGACTTCGTTGTTTTCTTCTGTGGGAGCCTTGAAATGGTTTTTTGTTACAAAGTTCTTTGAGCAGCTCGTAGAACATGTGTTCGTTGCCGAAAATCTCGTCGCTCAAAAAATATCAACTGATTACATTTGCCTAGACCTCGCCAAATATTGCGACAAAATAGCGTGAGAGAATTCAGTATCCGTGTTTTTGGGGCGAGATCTCTTTTCCAAGATTTCATATTTTTCAATGGTGATCTAAATAGGAGGACTTGTTGACAACTTTTGAGACAACTTCTTTGTTGCTGTCGAAATTGATATTGAGAGAAAAGCTATGTTGTTACTAGTTACATCATTGTTATTGATGTTCCCCTATTTCCAAAACGCATTATGTTGATTTTAACGATCTTTTGAAATTTGTTTAGAGAAACTAATTGAAGCAAGTTTTTTTTTTCGAGAGGGTAGTAGAATGAAGTCTTATTATCCGAATGAGTCTTCGTGAGAAGGTGGGAGGATTTTGCAGCAAAAGCGTAGTAAAAAAAAAACTTCCTCATAATCTCGCATGGTTATGGCAGGACTTTCGAATAATGCTGAATGACTAGTGAAGTTTATCGCCCTCAAGCAGTTCTTCCTTTTTTAAAATGCGTTTTCACAAAATTGTTCGCAAAAAAGAGTGGGAAATTTATGTAGATATTCTTAATCACAACTAGACTTAATATTGTTCTGGCCCGGCCCGCTTTAGTACCATAGAAAATGCGTTGCTTCACAAAATGTCGTAATTAGTGTTGGTCTCAAACTTAGAGTGCAACTTTCAATTATCAAACAGGGCGTAGATGTGAATGAGGCATTGTGTATAAAACGCGCTCACTGCTGTTGACAGCTCTACAAGGATGTATCAGCTGTTGATCATTGCGGTAAGATCACACACAATATTTTATCATAACATCATTACTTCCTTTAGTTCCAAACAAGTTTGGCCATGACAGCTAATGAGACGACAATACCCATACCCTGCAACAGCACAAAACACTCTTTTCGCGACTCTTCTTATGACACTAACATAGATGAAGATCGAAATAGGCCGATTCCGGAACTCGACAAGAGCAACACGTGCTATCGCAGAAACATTGGAGGAATAGATATCGGCAGGACTGTAAGTGTAGAATGCTCAAGTTATCACACAGATTTATTCGGCTATGGTATAGATAAGCCCTTTTCACGGAATCGTCGAAGCAGATTATAATTGTCAGGATGCCATTGAAGGCATAATGGCAAATATCACCAAAAAACGGGTAAGTGACAAAGTGTGTTTTGGCTAATCATGATTAGTATAGGTGTAAAATTATGTGCATTTCAAGCAAATTTTTAAGAAAGTTACATAATGTTTAAAACAGACAAAACTTTTCAAAAAATCAGCAAATTTTCAGAGATACGATATTAGCTTAGAATATACTGCACATATTATCGCCTCCGAATATGCGAACGCTTATCTCAAGGAATGGGATGCTTATAACATGACACTTAACGAAGCGTTTCTGAGAGCAACTAATGAGATTGATGGAGAGGATGCTGCAAAAAAAATGCAAGAGATTGCCGAAAAAAAGAAGCCTGAAAATATGGCTGAGCATGTGAAAAACAAATTGGAACCCAGATACCCTTTATTCGTGGTGGTAGTTGTTTCGTGAGTATATTGTTGTTGCCATATCCTGGACAATAAATCACATTTAGGGTTACTGATTCAGTTGGAGATGCTTTCCTAAAAATTGCTGCAGAAATTCGTGCGCAAAGAACGGAGGTTAGTCAGGTTTTTCTTTCATAAAATGGCAAGCAAAGAAGATTATCGCCACAATTTTGTCCGTTTTGCAACTGAACAACTGAAAAATGAAAAGGGATTGAACGAAGAGGGCCGGCACCTACAACATGAGGCATGACCAAGGCTCGCCACAAGTGGCTTGCAGGCAAGCTGGATATCGTTTTTGGGACAAAAAGCAAAGGGGGTTTCGTTTTTGTGACCGAAGAGAAAACAAAATTGGCGACTTCGCGACGTTTTTTTAGTCGACTTTTCGTTTTTTGAGGATTTTGGTGAACTTTTCAGGTTTTTAAAGGAAATTTGGTTGAGGATCAAAGGGGACTTCGTAAAAATTCCCAAAAGTCAAGGGGGACCTCGTTTTTTCCATTTTCATCTAGCCACCTCGTGCCGAGCCCTGGGCATGTCAAGCATTTATTTTCTCAAATAACTGTTATGAAAAACGCAGTTCCATATTCACATCGGTAGATTTTTTGTGTTTGGGGATAAAGTCGGTGTCTGAATGCTTCGCACCTTTACATTAGAGGAGAAATGTTGGAGGATCGGAAACAAAAGTAATCATCTTCTAGCCTTGCACATGCTAACAGGGCGTGGGTGAGGGCGCGCTATGAATGAGAAATTCCTGACTTTTTGTAAAAAAAAACTTTATTGATATTGTCTTCGAATGCTCACCCTTGTATGCAGTAAAACATACACTGGAAATAGAAACTAAAATCTACTATCTCGATGGTTTTAGTTTACGATTTATAACAGAAGATTTTTGCTCGTCGCGAATGCTATTAGCAAAGCTTTCGCAAAGAGTGCTACGATGTAGTGGAGGTGTGTTTTGTAATCACAGAACTGACAGTCACAAAGAATTCAACCCCCACTCAACCAACAGATTTGCATAATTAAGGTCGTATGTGTGACTGCAAAACTCTGTATTGCAAACTAGGGATAAAAGTACTTTGAACCACCACAAGAATAAGGCCGGTGATTTTATGCGCCCACAATAACGATGAAATATTCTTTACAATAACAATTTTTTGCATTGCGCCGCTGCTTGATACAGTTTCCGTAGGCTGCATCCAGGGTTTCTTGTGCCAGCATTGGAACGGAGCCATGCTAGCACAGCTCTTAGCACCGGCCCAACGAAACCTACTGGCTCAAGGGTACTTGATGAAGTCCCTGTTGGGTTCAATGCTGGTGTTCTACCTGTACAGTAGTAGTAGAATCCCAGGATTTCCGTTTGGTGGAAGCGAGATCACAAAAAAATTTTTCGAGTAAAGGTGTGGCTTAGCCGCGGCCTTTTTTTAAATTTTTTGGAATGCCTCCAAATTTTTTTCCAGCCCATCTCAGGGCCTGGCACCAGCTGGCACGGGGCAAGCTGGATATCGTTTTTGGAGCAAAAAGCAAAGGGGGTTTCGTTTTTGTGGGCGAAGAGATACGCAAAATTAGCGACTGCGACCTTTATTTTTTAGTCGACGTTTCGTTTTTGGGGGGTTTTTTAGGATTTCAGAGGGGATATCGTTGAGAATCGAAGGGGACTTCGTAAAAATTCCCAAAACTCAAGGGGGACTTCGTAAAAATTAGCAAATTTCAAGGAGGACTTCGTTTTGAAAATTCCCTGGTGCCAGCCCGTGCCGAGCCCTGGCCCATCTCCCCATAACTGTGGAAAAAAAGAGGCTGGCTACCGCCTTGGATAAGTTTTTTGTAAGGCTAATTTGAATTTTCGAAAAAAACTGAAAATGATTTTGAGTATTCAAGAAAACAAGTCACTTGCGCTTTATAACTGCATTTTAACTGCGTTTTATAACTTATGTAAAAAAAAATTTGCGACCCATTCTCGGTTCGGCACTGTTGTTAGGAAGTTTTTTTGCCTGAAGGTTTTTTCTATTTAGCTCTTTGTATCTATCCTACTCAACTTTTGTCACACGTTTGAGAGAATCTCCTCTACCATTGTCATGTTCTCACACGTAACCGGTGCTTTTCGGTTGGACCCTTTTTTTCTCAAAATGCTGATACAAAGTTTGCATTTCCCAATAAGCGAATCAGCTCACTTTCCATAGACGGTTTGAATTCTGAAATGACTTGCTGGTCTAACAGTTAATCGGCTCTATCATCGCTTTTGCTCAGCGAAGTACCCTAAATTACCATGGCGGTTCACACATGATACGTGTATAGAGACACTCGGTTCGCAACTTTCATCGTTTAATTGTACAAACGGCATTTATCATCCATAACCGGATGCACATTTATTTTTTGCAAACATCTTGAAAACAAAGTCCCAATACAAATGCTTCTGGCGAATAAGATAAGAGATACAAGGTAATATAAAAGAATCACAGACTTCCAGGCATTATTTTACGCGTCGGATGGGTACGGATGCAGTTTTGCACGATTTCTCACTAGTAGTGCCAATAAACAGGGACTAATACTTGGATGCGTACCCCGCAATCTCACATGTACTTTGGTGGAAGTGCGTCGCGATGGCTCACCACACGTCAAAAAAGAAGGAACACCTCGATATTTAGAATCTTGGCGGTACAATAGTACAGTATCTCCAACAACTACAACAACTAACCAATCTTAGATTGCTTTTTTTGTTTCTTTCTCCAGGCCGATATTCTAATAAATGTTTTGTATTCTTGCTCTATGCAGTAAAGCTTTTTTCTATTTCATCAGCGTCATCTGTCTAGTAGCTGTCAAGAAAACACAATCTGATTTTCTCAGGTCTGTGCTGGACTTTGTTTTTGGGGTGGAAAATAGGGAATATCGTGCGATATTTTTCTACATGTACATATTAGGTGGGACCAAAAGTCGTTCGCCAGGCACTCAAAAAATCATAACTTCTTCTCAACTCGATGGATTTTTTTGAATTTATATTTATCTGTAAGAGGATTCACTGGCTTTACGGCATTACCTTTGCCATAAATTGGAATGGGAAAGTTTGAGAATTAGAAGCAAGTAAAGGAAAATTACTCAAGCTTGGCATTTTTCAAGGTCACAAAAAAAATCTGAAAGTTTTTTTGTACGATAGAGAAGATTATGCTTTTTACTACAGCATCTTGCCCAAGAGTTAAGACGAAAAATTCGGAAGATAGAAGCAAATGAAAATAGTTCAGTTTTGCAATTTTTGAGCATGCTCAAAAATGCCTAAAAACGTCACAGAAAAGAGTGAAAGTCATAAAGCTGGGTTTTGTGACCTTTTCTTTCTTGCTGAATGAAAATCGTACCAATCAAGAGTCATTTTGATTTCTGTAATAATTCCGGATTTTTGTGTCTGCGTCTTCCACGAAAATCAAAATTGCTTCCGATTGGCACGATTTTCATACACCTAGAAGGAGAAGGTCACAAACTCTATGTTCATGACTTTCTTGTCTTTTCTGTGACTTTTAGGCTTTTCTGAGCATGCTCATAAATTGCAAACGATCAAATCTCTTTAGTTGCTTCTAACTCTCAATGTTTTTCATTTCAATTTGTGCGAAAGGGACTACAATAAAGAAGATTTTCTCTATCAAGTAAAAATACTTTTAGAATTTCCTGCTTGTTAAATGAAAATTCAATTTCCTTCACTTGCTTCTAACTTTTAAGCTTTCTTATTCCAATTCATCTCAAGCCACTGTTGTAGAGAGAATGGTTTCCTCTTCCAGATGAACATAAATTCAAAGAAATCCATCAAGTCGAAGAGAAGTTATGATTTTTTGAAAACCTGATAAACGAACTTTTGGTACCACCTAATACGAAGCTACAGACAAGTGTATCTGCTTCAGATATGGACTAGTTTTTCCTTTCCTAAAGTCTGAATTAATGCAATGTTCAACGGCTTGTTTTTAGCGCAAACGCAATCACATAACAACGAATATTGACTACCATATAAGTATCCCTTAATATTACATAGTAAGAAAAACTGAGTAGTCTTCTTGAAACCACATCAGTTCTTGGATCTACTTTGAATAGCTGGCGAGGGGTCGTCATTAAGCAACAAGGTACAGGTCATACACAAGGTATCTTTAAATATGTATATGCCCTTTTGTTATCTCTCTCGCTATTAAACCTTTGTCAAATAATATTATAGAGGACTACTGCAGGACGAAGGCGCAGAAGCAGTATAGTTAAGCGGGCGGGCGCGAAATTGGCGCGCGCGTTCTCACCGTTGTGAACGCCGCGAATACCGAAATGTTTATGGGGATAAGACGGCAACCCTACGATGATGCCAATCCCCTCATACTCGCGTTGTAATCGTTAATCTTTGGTGTGCTTAAAGGCAGTGGATCGGCAAAATCCAACAACTAGGCTCCTTATCGCCCCACTATGAAAACAGTGCAATCCCGGTTGCACAGCATGCTTTCCCTGCCGAGAAAATCGCTCTCGAATTTACACGCGCAGGCCAATCTTACACGCATCTGGACGAGTTGGCAATTTCCTTCTCACCACTAAAGACCGCCGCAACGCCATAACCATTGGGTCCTGCCACGGTTTAGCGTCATCGGCCTTGCTCCACTCGTCCAATATCAAAGGGAAGGGCATTGAAAAACGTTCATTTTCGCCGTTTTCAAGCTTTCAAAAGTGGATTTTCGGGATCAGCGTATTGAAAAACCCCAGGTAAGCGCAAATTTGACTAGGTTGAGATTTGCCGAGTCATTGACTTTAAAGGCAGCGTCCAGGCAAATCTGGACAATGGGGTTCTCACTTGAATGTTACTTTGGGGCCCTTACTAAGCCACTGCCCAACCGGCAGCTCAGGCAGTGCACTGACGGCTGAGACATTCGTCTCGAAACTGAGTTGCGGGATCGTATTTCGCATGAAATCATGGCGCAACCCATCAATTTCGAGCGAGGACCCATGGGTTTGCGCCATGAACCCATGCGAAATACGATCGCGGAGTCCAGTTTCGAGGCGAATGCCTCAGCCGTTAAAGCACTACCTCAGCCGCCGGTTGTGCAGTGGCTTAGTTAGGGCCAAAAAACTACAATTCACGTGAGAGCCCCATATGTCCAAATTTGCCTGCTTCTTGCAGCTTGATGGAATAA